CTTTTAATAGCTTGAAACTTGTATTTCATCATTTGTATTTGTATATACATATGTATGAGCTACGTAGATTAAAAACTTCAAAATTTTGATTTTGATATTTCATATAAAAAAATAAATAAATAAATAAACTTTAAAAACCTTGTAAATAATTAACGAAAATCACCATGTATTAAGTATTGCACTTAAGTGCATATTTTTATAAAAAATAAGAAAAGTCTGGTGTGAAAAATAAAAATAAATAAAATCGACAAAACGTCAGGATACGTATATTTTGACAAAATTTTACAGGAGAACGTTTTTTCTACTTTTAAAAATTGTTTGCATTTTCTATTTTATTTTATTCTTACTTCTCTTTGCCATACTTTTGTATGGCACCTACAATAATTTCGCCCACAAAAAAAAAACATAAAAAAAGCAAATATTTGGTGTGACTATAGGGATTTCAGATGTGCTGTGGGCTGTAGTACAAATTTGCATTAACATCTAAGCACATCGCAAAAGCTTTTAGATTGCATACAAAACATGTATAACAGTATACGTTGCGTAAAAAGCTTTTAATAAACTTGGCGCTAATCGAAGTGTTATACCAATAAAACTGTAGGAACGTTAAAATGAAACAAAAAATACCGAAACACATAAACTTAATTTTCAGCCGGATAATACGGATATGTGCACCGTTTTTGTAGAACAGGTAATTTTCCCAAGATGTTTTCATTTAAAGTTCGCATTGTGAATGAAAAAATGCAAACTTTAACAGGGAGTAGGCGTATGAGTAACATTCTTTGCTGCTCATATTTCATACAAAAAAAAAATGATTAGGCATTTTCATTTGACCATTCACAACTCTTTTAGTTACGCATCGATTTTGGTAGCTTCTCAAATGAAATAGATAAGAGTTCATTTCTTTCTAAAACAGCGTTTACCGATAGACTAAAACTCATCTGCTTTTGGAGTACGCCATTTTTATCCACAATTTTGTATGGTTATACATATCGTTAAGGCCGCATTTCCGGGAAAAGCATAACAAATGAGGAAACTCAAAATATAGAGTATTTTGGTTTCTCATAACCGCTAAAATGTTTGAGTCCCGGAGGTAATTTTCTTCGAGAATGCCAATGCCAGACTTTGTTTTCTCGTTCCTATACCAACAAAAAAAGGTGCACCTTTGCCCTGGTCGGCCATTAGACAAAATTCTTACAAAATTAAGTCTTGAACCATTTACATACATTCACCTGGATACAAAACAGCTTTATAGTTCAGTCTCAGATGAAATAACAGTGACAATTTATTCATAAGTGGTTACCTTTACACGTATTTGATTCTTTCGAAAAAGTGAGAAGATGACGAACTTGGAACGAACTTTCACCGTCCTTTGCAAGGTAGTATACAGGTAGGGACAGGGTGGGACAGCTACCCTCCACTAATGCATACAAGACGAGGTCGAATTTTAAATTTAATAATAAAAAAATAAATAAATAAAAAATGTTGTGCTTAGTCTAGTTCGTAACTGTGCTATCATTTCCACATGATGCCTGCGTTTTACAGCATTGATACATTCCCTGCAGGGAAAGCTAGTAGTTATGAACTAGAATGCTACCAGTTCGCGTTTCAGCCCAACTAGTTTGCGTTGTATCCTTTTTCAATATTAGCCACTGGTATTTATAAAATGGCGGTGCCATAGGAGATCCTGCATCAGCACCCTACCAGTAGAAATACTAGTAGCATCATACCAGTCGACGGGATAGACTGCCAATTCATCCCCCGTGAAAATAATTTTATTAAATTATTAATTTATATATAAATTCTTGAAATAATTGACTTACTTTACTTTAATTACCTGCACATGGACTCGAACCTGAGATCTCAGAAGCAGAATCGTTCGTCTTCACTCGAGGCCACAGCCGACATTTGAGAGGAAAGCAACTAACTGCATTTTAGTTTTTGTTTTGGCAATTCAAAGACAGGACTCGCTGATCGCATAAGTTGTTCTAAACCGTCAAAATGGTAGGCCGTCGTATTTTTACTGGCTGGTTTGGCATTTCAATGCGGAGAACTGGTGTAATTATAGTTCATAAAGAAGTGGTATGACTTCCCCATCGAATACCACTTTTCTAACTAGAAATTCTACCACATAGTTTACTTTTTTCTACGAGGAACTGGTAGTTTACTTTCTACAAGGAACTGGTGACTTCTATCCTTAAATAATAGTTCATGAAGTGGAATTTGTTCCTACTAGTACAGCTTTTCACTGCAGGGTTACAGCGTTATTTTTCGTCAAAGCGCCATCTGTGTCGCTGCTCTCATTTCCCAATACAATTTTCGAGTCGCACTTCTATCTGTCAGCATCTCAAGTTATTCACGCACACGCGTTTTTGCCTTTCGTTTCTTCCTTTAAAAAATACGTCTCTCTTTCCTCTCTCGCCGTGGTTGGGGTTCTTCCAAAATGTATGCCTCATCCACTAAAGTAACGATATGTTACTACCCAGAAGATAATTTAGGTTGGCCTTCTTAAGTGAACCCTTTCTAAAAGGCATGCCTAGGAATGGGTGAAAAGTAGCAACGCTTGTCCATTTACAAAATACGCGAATGCAAAAATGTATATTGTTTAGCATTATGAAAGGAATTTCAATATATATTTTAAGTTGTAATAACACAAATTTGATATAATTCGTAAGCAAATACTTTAAAGATGTTTGATGAACTCCTCCAAATAGCCGTTCTGAAGTACGTCCCATAAAAGCGCTTCTAGATGGCATTCTATGGGTAGCGAAATAAGAAGCCCTTCAATTTGTGCCACTCCATACATAAAAGAAAGGAAAAAGGAATGTAGAGTAGAAGGCCTCTTGACTCTAAGGAAGGCCTT